ATATAAAACCAGGCTATATTATGTAGACAACAATAATAATATTTACACTTGGTTAACAACATCTAACAACGTGTAGATAATGATTATTACATATAACAATAGTAAATTACAAATCAAGTACCAAGGTTACTTATATTGACGTAAGCCAACGTAATTACAATACACAAGAATGCAAAGAATTTAATTAAATAAATTACATGATCCTGTATTGGACACCCCCACCTTCCCATACCTGGTGCACACAATTGTGCACACGTATGGGCTAGGATAATCTATTCGGATCTAGCCGTAAAGTTATCGTCGTTCAAATATACAAATGTCCATATAGGACCATTAGAGTTGACGGTTATTTAGAATGCTATTGTGTCATATTGTCGCAATTAGAAAATGCAGATGCAATTTTGTTGAAATACAACTAAAATTACAATTAAAGTTATAAGATTACGGTCTAGGATATAAAGCCCCTGCGAGCACTTTTAGTTCACCACGATCAAACAAAATTACATTAAACTAATATTAATTTGTAGTTAATGTTATATAATTAATATATTATAATTTTACTTTTCATTTGAACCTAGAGTTATTTTATTATTAATTCACCAGCAAAAGTATTACAATTTAATCAACATTATAATATTTATTAATTATAATGTACAACAAATTGGTGGTTATAATGATCGGGCTATACTTAATGTTAGGTATAATTAACAGCGAACAATTGGTGTTCAACATGGCTAACCCACCGGTGCCAGTATGCCATCAGCGGTGCGATCACAACCGCATCAGTATCGGCACCGCTAGTATTGACCACAATCTACACGAATACGCCCTCAGAAACGTGTTTAAAAGTCTGAGGAATAGCTCAATGATGGCCAGGAATAGTGCTATGAAATACAAAGCTCAATTTGTAAGTTTTTTTAATTAATTAATTAACTAGGGAACATCAATAGTTATTATTATATTTATTAATTATTACTTAAATTTTTCAATTAATTTATAGCAAGAATTTGAATCTACAGTGAATAATATGGAGAATTTGAAGCTAAACACTGAGTTTGATTGGTTGCCAATCGTATCAATAGATTTAGATTTAACAGTTGAGTGATATTAAAATTAATGAAATCATAATTAAACTTAAACTAACTTTTTTTAATTGATATAATCACCAGAACTTTGATCCCACTCTCCTGAAGAATATCCATCAATATATCGAGACATTTGCCATAGTATTTGAGGAGTTATTATCTATACATCCAAAGGGTTTACCACAAGAGGACATCCGCGATATTGTCTACAATTGTTGTTCAATATTATGCGATAATAAGGTGGCAATGATTGTTTCAAACCAACATGGTCAAATTAGGACAAATACCAGACACCGTATGATACCCTTTAGGTACAGACATATTGCCAATGTGTCCACTCATCGACTTCGAGATTATCTTATTCTTAGACAATATCTGAAGACAATTGATTTTGTACTGTCTTTAGTGGACACAAAATTGTCTCAATTTAATACATAATTAATAGTTTTGTATAAGATTTTTGTAAATATTACTGTATATTTTGTATTATATTAATTGAATTTATATTTATTTATACTTAATAAGTGTTGATCATGTTATGAAAATGTAAAGTTTACTTATGTAATTATTTTAACTTAAAAAACTAATTCTCGCCTCAATAAATTTATTAAACATATAAAATGCAAAATTTCTGTCAACGAATTATAATCTTTAATAATTTTAATTAAACACACATTTGAATACTTAAATTCATTAATATTTTTGTAATTTTCTAAATATTTTATAATTTTTTTGGGGTAATTTTGTATTTTATATTTTTTTTGGGATTTTTGTAATTCATTAAAGTAAAGTAGAGAGTTGTTGATATTGAATGGGCACAAATTTATCGAGATTAAATATGAACAACATTTTGTATGAAATAATATTTGATTTTTTGGGTTTTATATACAATATTAACTAAATATTAACACATTTTTCATTTCATTGACAGATCTAGTTTTTTACTAACACCCACTTTACTATTTATGTAAATTATTTTTAGCAATTTAATTTACAGTTTGCATAACGCAATATACATTAAATAATCATTCCTTACATACATTAAAATTAATAAATAAACTCAAACAAAATTATCATCAATAATATTATCATTTAATCAATTAAATATCATAATCAATACAAATCAATCGTCATTACAAAAATACCATCAAATTATATCATCATTATACATATTAATACTTTACATGTAGCGCATATCGGGCGCATAACGTTGCGCCGGTCTGGGCAGGAACGGCACAAACTGGTTGCCAACACCACCGGCGGCAACGTGTCTACCAATGATAATCACCTGATGTGAAATACCACGTTTGACTTTCGAGGTCACATTGATCGTCGTGCCGGCACAGCCCACACCGCCAGACACGACAGTAGCTTTGCCACCGTTGCCATCATTAACCGTATCGATGACAGCGATGCCCGAAATCCTCAGCCCATTCGGGTTAAACTCCACGTTGTCTTTGGGCGGAAACTCGACGGTCACCCCAGCTTTGGCGCCACCCCTTCCGGGCTCTTCGTTCACCATCTGATTCCATAGGACAGTATCGCCCGCTTTGGCCAACCCTACCAATAGATTGCAGCCGAGGTGGCGATTGTTTGTACAGTACTCGCACAGTGCGTCCCATAAGTCGCGCACGTCTTCAGTGTTGTTGATGTCGTTAAGGATTTCGTGGATCTGATCCAGTGTCTTGGGATCCATCGGATCGACGACAACAGCAGCAGCTTTTTTACCACTTTTATTTCCCATTATCACATAAAATGTTGGCTACAATTTCAACGTGGTCTGTTTAAAGCGTTAACTATCTATGAATATATTGTATAGATGACCTGGAGCTTTTATTAATTAAAACCCATATTCATAATTCAGTTTCAAAAAAATTATCAAGTTTAGTTTTCATCACCTTATTTATACTGGACACTAAATACTATGGGTAATCATAGCTACATTCAATGTACATTTCAATGGAAAGTCACCTACAGCACATTAAAATCCTATTGGTCAGTACAGTACAGTAATAGACTATTAGTGCAATTATTAATTGCCAATTAATTACAAATACAAAATGTGAACAAATTATGACCTTGCTAACATCATATTACAAACACACATAGCTATGCGATTAACAACACCCACACATAAGCCGGGAGCGGTGGCGCACTCCTGTAACTCCTGCGACTGGAAGGGCAACTGTACGGTGGATGGGCTGTGTCTGGGGGTGTCGGCCCCGGCAGGCCTGTGTCGATCTGGGTGTCTGCGCTAAGCTCTGCGTCGATATGGGGGGCCGGGGGTAGCCCTGGCTCTCCAGGTCGTCTAATGAGGGGTGTATAGGCCCAGGCCGGCGACGGAGCAGTCAAAAGTCCCCGCGTGGAGTAGTGGTGAGATCGCGCCCGTGAGTAGGCCTACCGGTGTCCGCCCAGTTCGCGGTCCAGACCCGTACTTTTTTTACCTATGTTGTTTATTTTAATCACATTTCTTAGAGTATAACAATTTTTAAGACTTTTTATTAATTATTAATAATAAATTATTACTTTTATTATTAAATAGAGATCGAGATGACATGTTTGGTTTTATTTTTTATTTTATTTACTTTCTCTATTATTATTTAATAACATAGGTAAATTACAACATGAATTATAATGGCAAACATTTTAACCAACATTTATGGTAAATTAAATTTGTCTTTATTACCATTTAGATTAATTTTCTACAACGTATAACTGTTTAATTATGATCATAGATTTCAATTGAGATGGTTTTTGATATTGGATTAAAATTATTTACTTTAACAAAAGTATAGTGACTTGTAATCACATAGGTAAATTTTATCGCCAATTACACACTTTAAAACAGTTGCTACAAATTAATTTGTATTATTATTTAATAATTTAACCACAATTAATCATGTTGAATTTGTCAACTCTTTTAGCTGTTGGTTAATTTGCAACAATTTATAATTCAAATCATTCAAATATTTGCCAACAATGACCACGCAGAAAGAAAATCCATGACACCATTGGCTGGTGAGCCGTACGTTAACATAGTTGGCGCCGACACCACCCGACTCTATGCTGGCCACACCTCCCTGACCGCCATTAGTGGCACAATTAATAACAGCCACACCCGATATGAACAGCTTATGTCTGGACCTCATCACTGGCGGCGGGAACTGGATGTCGGCTGACCGGCGCCCGAGTGGCCGGTAATGTCTGGAGATTAACTGCATGTATAGCAGTGTATCGCCTGAGTCGGGAAAACCGACGATCATATTATGGCCGTTGGCTTTGAGCGTGTGGTCCCCTATCAGGTGCCACAAGTCGGCGATCTCCTGGTCGTCGGTGTATTTGATTATGGCTTCGATGGTTGAGATTAACGAGTCGTTCATTGCGGACCTGTTATAGTCGAGGTGTAACTGTAGTGTGATTTTGTATATTATATTATATAAAACCATAATATATAATGAAGTTTGTTATAATTTATTTTATTATAAATTTTATAAAAATGTTTATTTATTATTATTATTATTTTGTAAAGTGTTTTAGTTTTAATTCAATTTGAAATGTTTATAATTATAATATGTGATAATTTAATGTACTGGCGACACGAATGTACATGTAAATGTGACAGGTAAAAATGAAAATGATTAAAAACATTTTATGATAATTTTGTTGTTTTATTGTTAAAATGGGCTGTGAATCAACCAGGTTAACAGAAATTTGCAATGACTAATATAATTTAACATGGATTTTATTTTTTACCTTATTTTTACACAATATATTAATTAAGCAACAACAAAAATGTCTAAAATTATATGTCTAGCTTAATTTTCTAAAACTTATGCCAAATAATACAAAGCATTTATTTAAAAAAAATCTATTTAATTAACAAAATATACATTTAAATAGCAATTAACATAACTATTATTCAGTTAATTCATCATAAGAAGTTTTATGTGGGGTATTATCATCGCCACCATCGGTGTCCACATATCTGCCAATCACTATAATGGTAAACGAGTAACCTTTGGACCAATTGCTGGACAACTTGATCTCGACAAACGTACAGCCGATACCGCCATCAATGATGGTCGCCTCCCCACCCATACCCGTCATCTTGCTATCAATGATAGCCACACCCGATATGATGGCTGTATTGAGATTAGTGGCCGCTCGGGGCGGATATCGGATCACTTCTGACCGCCAGATCAGTGGCTTAGCCTCGACTGAGCGCTGTTGATAAAAGAGGATTGTGTCGCCCATACGCGGCGCCCGTAATATATTGCTCGACTCGAGGCCCTTATCGTACGCCGATTTGGACAACACGTCCCACAGATCGCGCATCTCTTGCTCTACATTGCAATTGAATGCCAACTGTTTGCCGACTCGACGACTCCCATTGGGCTCCGGGTGGCTGTTATTGGGCACCACTTCCCGACCCCTTGACTCGTCATATGTGACCACATTGTGGTGTCCCGAAGCTGTTGGCAGCGGATGATGGTTAACATCGCGATGGTTTATCTCGTTATGGCTGTTATGGTGGTGAGGACTGGTAGCTACTGGTGATGACTTGTCGACCAGCACTTCATCGTCGGTCGGGAACAGGTCTTCGACGTATTCCTCGAGGTTTTGCATCAATTATTGTAATTGTTTTTTGCACTTTTTAATTATGAAATATTTATTAAAATATGAAATAAATATTTTTACGTTTTTAAAATTGTAGCAATCAATCCAAACATGGTATGTTTTTTAATTTACACATTTTTATCTATGTAGAACTATTTTTTGACAAACAAAACAACAAATTAATATATGGTTAGCGCGAAGGCCACAGAATATTCCTGTTGTATATTTTACATGTACTTCACATGATATATAAAAATAATATTACATACACAGTATATATACAGATTATGTATACAGATTACTTTCAATCGTTGTCATTTATCATGGGATTTATTTTATTGTAAATATTTCACCACACTAATATAAAACAGCAACATTTTTATCATAATTATTTAATAAACACATAAATAAGCGCATAAACAAACACTATTCAAACTTAATGTAATTATTATAATACAATCTCTCCGGCGTATGCCGTCTGCCACTAAAATGCTGCTGTTTGTGGTGTTGTTTTAATTTCACCTTGTTGTAAACGAGTTCAATAATTAATATAATTGCAGCCAAACTCAATAACAGTATTGAAATTACAATAATGACGGAAAAGTGGTTTATAGTCAACGGATAGCACATGTATTTGTCGGTCAAGTAATCAAACTTTGAGTACCGGTTCCGGTCCTTAATGTTTTTAAATATAGTCTCTTTTACCCACATTTCGTATATTCCGCTTTCCAGCAAATGTTCAATACTTTAAATAAACAATTTAAATTTAAGTTATAATTACAAAAAAAACTACAATTAGTAATTGCACCGAAATTAACATAAAAACTAGTATTAAATTTTTTAATTAAAATTTTTTGAGCAAAACTTACATTAAATTAATACAGAATTCAGTTATGGGCGAATTATGATGTGTCACAGGCATAAAATATGGTAACACTAGCTGATTATCAACCGATCTATACAAGTTAGTATAATTTTGGGCTTTGGTGGCAAAATAAAAGTCCAAAAAGAGCTGATCCGAGACAATAGCTCGTTCACCATCATTGATCTGTTGAAACACCTTGAGTTCCCACTCTTTTTGCTTATTATTCTCCGGGTTTTCAACGATAGACCGGTTGAAGAAGTCACCAAAAAGTGGTTCCGATGTGTCATTAAAGTACTCGACACTCGTCTCGCCATCAAATATGATAAATTTAATGTCACTTTTGGCCAAATCGGCGATTGAGTCGATCTTATTATAGGGTTTGGCCACCACTAGGAACGACAGGAGGGCACCGGAAAAGGCCGATATCACTATAAATGTGGTCAAATACCAGATCATCATTATAGGGGCCGTAGTGTCTGTCCTTTTTAATGTCTGTACGCTTTGCTTAAATATAATGCCAATGAAAACAATAAACACCTTATGCTTGTGGTTTACTACATCGAGAGTCGACGGTACGTAATAGCACAGCACAGTTAGCGCAAAGTATAGCAACCAAAATATTAGCCATATTTTGTACTCAAATATCTTCAACAACCGGAATATGGATCGGGAGGCGAGCGAAAACCGGCTGTCATACCTGTCGTATCCGTGCAGGCTGTTCTACACCCAGTCAAACTCCATAAACTGTTTCAACCCGCGGACGTCCAAGTACCCACCCATCCCCGACTCATAGTCCACCTAGACAAAGGGGTCAATCAGCGCGAATGGCATCCAGTCGTCGGTTGTGTCCTCGATGTAGTTCAGGCTAAAAATTATGGTAAAAATAATGTTACATAATTATGATTAGTATCATGATTGAACAAATTTACTCGACTCTCAGTAGCCGTGATATTTCGATGACAACGCCCAGCAAAGGGCCGCATATTTTGTGCTCATTTACATCGATGAACGGCTGCCAGAATTCGGCCGCAAAATTCAATGTACCCCTCGTTTCGGTGCTGTTGTCGGCCAGAAAACTGACCGGTTTTTCCGGTGTAAATCGGTAACAAAATCTGGACTCCATTTTTTAACCTAGATATTTATCACAGTCGTTGACGTTTGCATTATATTATTAGGTGCAGATCAGTATTAATTAACTTTCATTGTTTTTAACAAAATATTTAGTACAAAGTAGCATATTGCAAGTTTTATGTAAATTAACAGTGTAGTTTTCGCAATGTAATTTCACATTGTTTGTTTCGCTTTTACATACAGTACAGTAGTTTTGTTTTTCATTACACTATATGTGTCAGTAGATATGTATTTTTGTTTAATAAATAATTATTATCGATAATGTATTGTAATTCTCTCTCATTTTCTCTCTCTCTCTCTCTCCACTATATAATCAATTCATACGACTAAACGGCTGTATTTAATACCCAGTAATTAAGTCCCTGCAGACTGACAGCCACTTTCATTGTAAACATCATTTTGTTACACAAACTATTGATTTCGTACTCAAATTATAAATATCACTGAATTTATAGTAAAATACAATTTTATTGTTAGACAAAAATATATACAATTTATAATATTCTATTTGAGATAATTATACCATAATTATAGTAATGCTTATAAACTACCACGATATTAATTATGCCAATATAATGATTGACAATTTATTCAATATCAAGGCTCTACCCCTCCTATCTCTTCCCCTTTTAACCTAACTGTCCGTATGCTAATTGTTATATTTATTTAATGCTATGCAATAAATAAAATTGTAACTAATATTAGTAATCATAATGATAAGTAATTATTCTTACCGGTGCTAAATGTTTATGTTGCTAATCAATATTATTTTGTTACAAATTCATTAATAAACTCATTATAGTTATTTCCACAATAAATTTGCTACAATAGTTATATATTTAATTAATACTATACTAGTAATGTATAGCCATTAATCTACTATAGTAATTCTATATTAGTAATCTATTTATAAATTAATGATAATGATATCGATAATGTAATCGTGTGGATGCATATTAACAACACGAATCACAGAGTAATGTTATACTTTAACTACAGAATGAATTACTTGATGACAAATAATAAATAAGTTATCTAAGATATTTATAGATAATTAAATTGATTTACAAGGTTAAGCAACCGTGCGATCTTATAAACTAAATTCTTCATGCTGAATTGTTGTTAAAAATAATAAATGGCAATTAATTAAATATTTAGTAAAACATTAATGTCCAATTAAATCGAAACTCCTGTTTATTATATAAATTCATTTTAGTAGAGAGAGAGAGAGAGAGAGAGAGAGAGAGAGAAAGGAATATTTTAGAAGAAATATAAAAAATATTTTATTTGAACAACATAATTATAATCTATTTGTAATTAAATCGCCCTTTCTGTCAATATAATAGGTGTAACACTTATATTATTAATTGAAATGTGTTTTCAAAACAAGTATTCTAAATAATAAATTAGTTTTGTCGTGTCAAACATTATAATTTGCCATTTAACTACAGTATATGCAACAACTTTCAATAGTATAGACAATTAACCTTTCGGATATAAGGGATATAAATAATAAATGTTATATGGGATATATGGGAAATGCTAATACTGTATTTATGAGACACATGTTTTAGTGACTATTTAATAAAAGGCATATAAATTAATTAATTTAAAACAAAACATTAGACATTAATCAAAGCCTTATAATCAAAGCGTTCCCATTTTAAAACTCGAACAAATATAAAATACACATACTGGTAATTTATAATCATTTTATTCACAATAAATGCTTTTTTGTCAGCAATAAAACCAATTTTACAATTAATTAAAGAGTTATTATTTTTATTTTTTACGTGTTTTCAAATGTTACACAAATAAAGAAAAAAATAACAATAATTTTTTAATCTTTTAATTTTATTAATCAATTAATCCATGAGTTTAAGCATTCAATTGATTACAGTCTCAGTACTGACACTACAAATACAGTTACGGCACAACCAGATCGCCAAACGGGACACATGGCTGCAGAGGTATGACTTCATAGTAGTGGGCGCCGGGAGTGCCGGTGCAGTAGTGGCTCATCGACTGTCAGAAAACCCCTCAATCAACGTATTACTACTGGAGGCCGGGGGTCCGCAAACAGTGGCCACAGATATACCGGGCGCGTGGTCAGGCCTATTGCAAAGTGAACTGGACTGGGGTTATCGGACAGTACCCCAACCTAACTACGGGCTCAACGCTGGCGGTCGGGTCAGTCTAAATAGGGGTCGAGTGATAGGGGGCTCGTCGGCCATCAACGCTATGATCTACAATAGGGGCCATCGGAGGGGTTTTGATGAGTGGGTCGACGAGTTCGGGGCCAATGGCTGGGCCTTTGATGATGTGTTGCCCTATTTTATAGTGTCTGAAAATAATAGCGATGCGGCTATAGTGCGGGCTAACCCTGGCTATCACGGGGTCGATGGCCGGGTGGCCATCTCGTCGGAGCCCAACCCACAGCCCATACTTGAGCTAAACATACGGGCGATGAATGAAATGGGTTTCGAGACAATCGACATTAATGGACCCAAACAGTTGGGGACCGCTATAGCCCAGGGCTTTATTGACTCAAACACAGGGCTGAGGGCGAGCACCGGGAGTGCGTACATCGACCCCAACCCACACCCAAACAATCTTCATATACTGACCGGCGCTCTGGTCGTGAAAGTGCTGTTCGATAGCCGATTGAATGCAATGGGCGTTCAATTCATACGAAACGGCACAACATATCAAGTAATGGCCGATAAGGAAGTGATTATAAGCGCCGGTAGTCTTAAAATAACATTTCATAACCATTAACACGTATTTTATGTGATTATTTGTATTACAGGCGCTATTAATTCACCGCAACTCCTGATGCTGTCGGGAATCGGACCCAGAGATCACTTAAAACAACATAATATCAGTGTCTTAGCCGACCTCCCAGTCGGTGACCACCTTCAGGATCACCCAAACATGGGTCCCATTAATCCCATCATTAGAAACACTGTGACAATCAATGAGGTGTCGGAGCTTATGGTCGGCCAACTGAACGAACTGCTGGTCAACCATTCGGGTCCGTTGTCCCGATCGACAGCTCTCTACACGTATTACAACACAAAGTCTAATGATATGAAAGATTGGCCAAACACTATGATCGGCACATCCGTTGCCGACGTTAACGACACTCAACTCGCAGACATGTGGTCAGCGAACAGCGATCTTAGGGATCAAATGAGTGACAAACTGAGTGGACAATGGCTAGTAATCTTTGCTTGTCTTTATCGGGTCCGGAGTTACGGCACCGTACGGTTGGCCTCCGCCAACCCATACGACTCGCCACTAATTGATCCCAAATATCTATCGCATCCGCAGGACTACGAAGATATGGTCGAAAGCGTGAAATTTGTTTACTATTATTTAACGCATTCATCGCTCGCCCGACACTTGTATGTCATTCCCGAAGCAATCCCTCCGTGTCGTGGACTGTGTCCGAGCGGTCGGTACTATGAATGCGATCGCTATGTCCGGTGTCTGATCGGACAAATGGGCGGTTCGGTGTGGCATCCGGTGGGCACGTGTCGTATGGGAGGCGCCGATAGGAACGATACTGTGGTAACGCCTGAGTTGTCGGTGAAGGGTGTGGGAGGGGTGCGGGTGTGCGACGCCTCAGTCATGCCTCGCATACCGAACGCCAACACAAACGCCGCCTCAATAATGATCGGCGAAAAGTGTTCACAACTTATTAAACAACACTTCAATCTATGACAACATTTTTATCATTTCTTTTAATTAATTGTATTGAAAATTAAATATCTTTCTATTTTATAAATTATATTTATTAATAAACAAATTTTTATTAAAATACAAATTAATAATTAAGGGTAAATAATTTTATGATTATGTTAAATTAAATACAACTAAAGAATAACTCGGTTATAATAAATGATACATTTTTATGAATTAATTTATACGATATTAAACAGAAGTGTTTTGAATTGACACATGTCTAAAAATGTTCCGGGACATTATTTTAGCTTGGTAAGAGTTTCCCACACGTTCGCGACTATTATTAAGCTTTCTGTTGATATAACCTAAACCAATGTTTGGTATTATTATCAATGAATTAATTATAAAAATTATTAGAAAATATTGATTATTACTCTCCAAAAAAGCACACGTATTGGCGGCCGAATAGGTATAAAATTCATTGCCATAATGTAATGTAAACTTTTTGGCCACTAATACCAACAACATTAATAATATATACATGGTAAATTTGTTAATTCTGCGAATTTTGCCACCGTGTGTCGAATTAATATTGGTTATTTTACGGTTGTGAGTAACATGATTGTAAATATTTACCACTATAATAAAGCAAACAATAGCCGATGGTATGGCAAACTCCGCAAATACTCTAAACCATCTAGTGTATTGTTTAATTCCGACCCTGGTTAGCCAATCGTTTAGATAATTATTGGACTCCAGGCACACATAAGTGTTGAGTTTGCTGTTGTAATAAAACGCATAGCCATTAGCTATAAACGGTACCGATAGGGTTAGGCTTATAAACCACACACTAGCCAATAGTTTAGTTGTTGATAACTTGTCCATAAAATTATTAATCTGGTGACCATGTTTGAATGTGTGGTATTGGTGCCAGGCTAGTAATACCATAGTGATACCCTCAACATACATTTTGCTAGCATCAAGGTAATTGTGTACGCTCTGTACTACACCGGGAACATCGGGGTATTCGGTAAGTCCCATATGATATATTACGTGTACGCGTAGTGTGTGGATAATAATAATGGTTGAATCAGCAATTTTCATGTTCAAAATCAACCAATTGTCGTGTTGTCTGTAATTGAGACCACAAGTGGCGGAGCACTTACGCCGGCGTCGGCACACAATTGACTGCCATAGGGTTTGTATGTAAAATATGTTTGTAGCAAATGTGATCGCTTTTACCGCGTGCCATATTGAAAACACTTTTGATATGGTTAAGAATAGCATGGTTACTTGTCTTGATGAATAAACTAGTACGATTGTCGTTTATTAAAATTGTTTTATTTGTAATATATTTTTGTTTGTGTTGAGATTAACATGATACTTTTGTTTGAATTTATTATAGGAATTTATTTGTAAACATGAAATATGACATAAATATTATTAAATTTGTTTATTCAATAATTAAAATTAATGTTTTACATAATTTAATATGTTGTTCTATTATTGTCTCGCAATTTCATTTGTTGCAATTTGTATTCAAATTACAATACAATGAACTCAACATTGTAAAATAAATATAATTCAATAATGTGGAAAATGGAATGCTAATTTGAGAATGGTTAAATTATAAATGCCACCTATGTCAACAATATTGTTTATAAATTATAATGTTACATAATACTTTAAAAACAAATAGGCATAAAATATAATTGTAATAAAAGTACTATGGTACTATAACCAGTGTAAGTGTTGCTCAATATCCGGTCATTTAAAGACAATGGGTATCCGATATGATACAACATATCAAATGATAGTTAATTGTGAAGTAATTTTAAGCGCCAGAAGTTTTAGCATTGATTACATTAATATAAACATATATTTTATCTGATTATCTGTATTACAGGTGCTATTAATTCATCGTAACTTAAATATTAAATTAGGAGATTTAATGAGTGATTTTTAAAAATTATCTATATGTGACATATTATTTAAATGACAAACAAAATAAATTAACATAAAATAATTATCATAGTTATAAACTACCACAAACCAACCTACATCAATCACAACTATACAACTAAACTACCCGTTAATATCAATCTAAAAAATCACATCAAATACCATAAAATTTAAAAACAATTTTTAAAATTTTTCAATTAATACTATAAGTAAAAAACTGAATGAAAAGTTTGTGAATTAATTTATTCAATGAACAAAATAAACTCCTGATATTATGGCGTTAATATGTGGTGTACACTGACTGTACATATAAGGCAATGGTATACACAGTGGGTGTTCATTGAAGTTAATGGTTATGCCGTTTATGTCTCACCAGAAAAAAAATACTATTAAATAATATTGAAATACTTCACAAATCGGTTGTCAATATCTCGTTATAAAATATCCTAAATAATACCCGTAATTATTATACAATAACCGCAAAAAAATAAAATAACATTAACAATAAGTGTCCACTAAATAGATAAATGTTGTCATAGATTGAAGTGTTGTTTAATAAGTTGTGAACACTTTTCGCCGATCATTATTGAGACGGCGTTTGTGTTGGCGTTTGGTATGCGAGGCATGACTGAGGCGTCGCACACCCGCACCCCTCCCACACCCCGAACCGACAACTCTGGCGTTACCACAGTATCGCTCCTATCGGGGCCTCCCATACGACACGTGCCCACCGGATGCCACACCGATGACCCTCGATGTCTGACCAAACACTTGAGATAATCGTCGCATTCATAATAGCGTTGATTTGTTGAACACATTCCACGACACGGAGGAATGGCTTCGGGGATCAGTTGGACGTATTTGTCGAGCGATGAATGCGTTAAATAATAGTAAATAAATCTCAACGTCTCCGCCATATCTTCCGAGTCCTGGCGGTGCGATAGATATTTGGGATCAATTAACGGGTGATCTTCAGGATTAGCTGAGGCCAGCCTTACGGTACCCGAACTTCGGGGCCGAAACAATAGGCCATACATTACAAACAATTTGCGGCCGATATATGGCTGAAGGTATGTATCGTTTGACTCGGGTTTGACTTCGGCTACAAATCCGGTGATCAAAGAGTTTGGCCACTCTTTGTCCGCATTAGACATTGTGTTGATATAAGTATAAGTGTTTGAATAGCGAGTCAATGGCCCGGAATTGTGGACAAACAAGTGGTACAACTGATCCACAGATAGGTCCGGCATATCCTTGACCGGTGTGTTAGCGTTGATAATCGTATGAATGGGTCCGACACTGAAGTGGTCCTGAAGATTGTCACCCACTGGTAGATCCGCTACCACTTCGATGTTGTGTTGGTTTAAGTGATCTTTGGGTCCGATTCCTGATAGCATCAGAAGTTGTGGCGAATTAATGGCCCCTAAAATGTATAATACAATTACCACGAAAATAAAATGCTATTTAATTTTCCAGATAATTACCAGCGCTTATAATGATCTCATTGTTGGCCATCACTTCATGGGTGGCGTTGTCTTTGCGAAACTGAACACCAATTGCTCTCATATTACGGATCAATATCTTTGTGGCAAAACTGGCGGTTAAAATATGCAGATTCCCGGGTCTGGGGTTGGGATCGAGATATCCGTTTGCCGTTCCCGACCGCATACCGGTGTCGGCGGAGATAAACCTCTGCGGTATAGCTGTTCCCAACTGTTTGGCGCCATTCAAGTCAATGGTCTCAAAGCCCCAGTCATTCATGGATTGACTGTTTAGCCGAAGAATCGGTTGCGGATCGCTATCCGTCGATATGCGGACCAAACCCTGTCGGCCATGAAATCCCGGATTCTGGCCAACAATCGTCGCGTCGCTATTATTCTCGTACGCAATAAAATGGGGCAAAACATCGCCGTAAGCCCAGCCCCGGGCCCCGTACTCGTCCGCCCACTGGTCATACCCGCGCCGATTACCCCTGTTGTAAGTCATACTGTTGATGGTTGTGGTGCCGCCCACTGCCCGTCCCGTATGCATCGGTAGTATACCATCGCCGGCCGGCCCGCAGACCGTCGGCTGCGAAACTGTCCGATAATTCCAGTCCATATCCCCGCCCAGCGATTGAGGCCATGTGTGCGGTATGTCTGTGGCTGTGGTCTGCGGACCCCCGGCTTCCAGTAATAGGACAGTTGTGGTGGGGTTTTCGCTGAGTCTGTGGGCGACTACAGCCCCGGCAGACCCGGAGCCGATCACTATGAAGTCATACCTCTGCAGCCATGTGTCCCGTTTGCCGATCAAGTTATGCCTTAATTGTATTTGTATGGTTAGTATTGAGACTGTAATCAATTGAATGCTTAAACTCATTGATTGAATAAATAGTTTTTCATTAATAAATGTCACATAAATTGTATGTTAAAAAATTAAGCAAAAATAAAATTTTACAACAATATTAATCATAAAAACACTTATACCGTTATATTATAATACCCATATATTTTGTTTGTTTGAATAGGTTTTGTATTTGTAACTATAATTAATTTAAGAGTTTGTATTGATTAATTAATAATTATTTTAAAATGATAATTTTTAAATTACTCTAATTACTTTCTAATAAAAAAAAATATATTATTAATTTCAATATTAAATATTTAATTCAAAAATCTAGTTGCAATAAGAAATACCAAATATAAATAACTGACTTACCAATATGTTTGTAGTCAACGCATACATTGCTATTAAAAATTAATAATTTATTATTTTTATTATTACTTTTATTTTTAAAATTTTTTATATAATTTAATTAAAACACAAATACTAAAGAAATTTTAAACTTTATAGTAAAGAAATAATATATTAATTTTAATTAATAATTAATTGTTAGTATTGATCGTAAATTACAAATCAATTACAAAGTCATCGTATGATATAATAGCTGTCTATAGAAAATCACAAAATTAAAAGCCGTTTAAATATATCATAAAAACAATATCTTTATCAATAAAATCAAATTTCTTGTTAAAAATTAAGTTAAAATTATTCATTCATTTAAAATATACTTCAATTGTTTCGGTAATAACACAAATAAAATGCATTACTATTTGTTATATAACCGAAAACTCAATTATTTTTCGAGTCTATAATTAAAAATATTATCGCATTTGAAACAAATAAACAACAAAACAAATTCAATATAATATAATATACTGTATAATAGATGGTTATAATTAATTAAAACTCATTAATATTGTAATAATAATAATACTTTTAAATTTGTTTGAGAATTAAATTAGTGTTTTTATAAAAATTGTTTTGGTTTTTGTATATATTTGTCAATGTTTTACACAATTATGTAAAATGTTTATATAATTAGCGTTTTAACCAATATTGTCGACAAAAATTGTCGTTTGGTTTTGAATTGAAAACAATAGAAAAATCACAGAATATTCTTGTCGTTCACATAATAAACACAATGACTGCGAGAATATTCAAAGCGTAAGAATAAGTGATTAGAGTTTTTGATTCAATTCTGTATCGCCTTTTCCGGAGCCGATATTCAAAAGCAAATACTTATGATAAATATCCTAATGACTGAACATTTGGGTCAATCCATATTCATGTTTATAATAGGATATATTTTGTGTATATTAATTATTAATGTGTGTGATATTCTGTGTGTGTATTTCTATAGGTATTAGGTGTTTACAACTAAACAATAGGGTAATTGTCATACAATTATCAAACATGATAATAATCTACGCAAACAATTTGTCAAAACAATTATGACAATAGGGTTTGTCGTTTTGCTCTTTGAATGTGCCCTTATTGAGCTGTTTGAGACAGAACGAGCACACAAAATGCTCCGGGTGGTATTTGCGGTACATGGCGGTGATGCAACGGCCGGTGATTGGTTTGTGACACCCGGCGCATAGGGAGCCACGTTTGGCGTGATAGTGGGTCTCGCAATAGGGCTGTCCCTCGTGGTCGAAGAATGAGCCCCCGTTGAATGGCGACCGACAGTCCTATATATAATCAGGGTTAAAACAAGTTTTAATTGATATTTAATTAATATTAATTAATAAAAATGTGTTTTATTTTGTATTATATGTAAATTTTGTAGCGATTTTTTCCTGTGCCGGGAAACGGGAGTTAACACAAGTGTAATCGTTGTTGACTTAAATCCTACACAAAATCCTTCACTATATATGCAGACAATAAGTGTTTGCATTTTATGGATATTTTTTATAAAAAAATTTAAGCAAACAAATTGTTCGCAAAAATCCTTTACGTTAAATGTAGTTAACATTAAAAACCACTTTTTCTAAAACTAAAATTATCGACAAAAATAATTTACTACAAAAAATACATCCATAAACTTGAAGGCCTGACACACATCCCGTTCCCCTTTTTACAGGCAAATACAGTATACATCACCAGAAAAAAACACACAATGTTATCCTATCGACAACAGGAACAGCTTATGGTAAAAAACAAATGACATACGCGGCAGACAAAGCACTCGGGATGCCATTGGGTGCTGAGCGCCGATATGTAGTTGTCGGTGATGGCGGTATTACAGCCGCCGCACTTCGGCGCAAACAAATCAAAGTAATCCGACCGACAGTAGGGTTTGCCGTCCTTTTCGTGGTAGCCGTCGTCGCCAAAGTTTTTACCACAATGGGCGCAGAAAAAGTGCTCAGGGTGCCATGTCCTGTCCAGCGCCGTGATGCATTTCTATATAAGTGGTATATAATTATATATAAATGACATATTCGTGATATAAATATAAGTTGGTTAAATAGTTTATTTGTTTGTTTGTTATACTTTGCGTGTAATGTCTGTAATTTTCATAGCAATTCTGGGCTTAAAAATAGCGATTCTGTGTTTATTTGTATTATAAGAATATTCTTGTAGTGTTTTTAAGCGATTAATTACTTTTGAATGTATGCCATGTATGTCGTTACAGACTATTCCCGTTATAATGAACTCCACCATTAGTATGTCTATCAACGCTAAAAGTTCACTAAAACTAAGATGGTTGTTTACATAAATAAATACTCGGGCTGTTAAATAACATGGTCTAATTATTTATACATTGAGACTATGTGTATATATTCTTGGATTCAATTCAAAGCAAATGAAAATTTCTATACATTTCTCGCATTGATAATTCAATTCACTGCAATTAAAGCATATTTTCATTTACAAAACAGCAAAACATAATAATTTAAAACTTCAATATAATTAAAAGCCTAATATAAAAACCAAGTGCTGTTATAAGACAACAAAGTGCTGACAGTTTTATAATACAATAGTAAATAGCAATAAATAAAACAAAAACCCTTTTAACAGGCATTATATGTCAAGTGCTAGTGTGTTGGCCTTGATTTCTGGTTAAATACCAGAAAAACACCCAAAAACAACCCAATTATCTGGTAGTTTGGTAAACATCAAAATGGGGGACAAAAACTATGGTAAAAACAAACACACTTACATCGAGTATGGATGCGCTACAATATGCACATTTGGGAGAGAATAGCTTATGGTAATCGGTTTCGCAATAGGGGTGACCATCTCGCTCGAAGAAGTTCTTGGTGCCCAACTCGGCGCCGCAACTGAGACAGGTGAAATGCTCCGGGTGCCACGTTTTGCCCAACGCCGTCACCACTTGGCCCACAATGGGTTTGTGACACGCGTTGCAGTGGCCTTTGGCGGCGGTGTCCACGCCGTGACGCGACATGTCTGACTGCAGCGAACCGATAATACTGTCCAATTGGTGGCCGCCCGGAGTCAGTGGCGCCACTTTGCCGTAATCGCCGCTACCGACCGGTCTGTCCTTCATCTGTAAATCACACCAAACAGATGAGTAATATATAGGCGTTTAAAGCGCTAAAAATTTATGATAAATATTATAAAATCATTAATGAATTAATTACCTTAAAGTCCGAGAGGGAGGCCATGAGGTCGTCGAGCTCTTGCGTGGCGTTAGAGGCGGATCCCTGGCCCCCACCCGCCGGGGCGTTGCCCTGGGAGGCGTGTTTGGGCGAACTCAATATACCGCGTTGGGGTTGGGGCTGATGGTGTTGGTAGTGTTGGTGGTGTAGATCATTACCAGCGCCGGGTGTTGTCTGACACCTGGGTTTATACGACTCGATCAATAGTCCGGCGTCTGTGTCGGTAATCCTGGCCTGATATGGCCGGTGACCGATCGGGTCGGCGACGATGTGCACCTGTTTAGGGGTGGTTGGAGTGGTGGCCGCCGGTCGTCGGCTGGCCGGCGGACTCGTGTGCACGTGATGTACATGTGTTGGACTACTATAGGGTGCGAATCGAGAGGTGATTATCATTACTTTAGTTCGTGGATTGGTTTTAATTATTTGAATACTTACTGAGGATTATGGAGATTATGCTCGAGATTATGGATCAGTTGATTGACTTGCGTTGAATCGCTTCGGTCTCTACCATAATATCCAGAGTTACCGTTCGTTGTCACTGTATTGGCGTAGGGTTTAGTATTTAAAATCATTATGGTGGTCTTAATCCAGTTATAAATTATCATAAACAGCTAGATCTTATCAGCACCGAGTTAATTTATTAATTCCCTTATAAAATGATAAATAATGTTATATATCCATAAATGTGGCCACAAATGGATATATTGTACACATATTTCCGGTGGGAGAGAGTGTTAAGGACTAAAAAGTGAGAGTCAATTGCCTAACACTTAGGCTCTAATAATTATGACCCAAATTATGTAATTCTGGCTGAAATCCAATACACTGTATGTATTAATAATGTATAATATAGTGTACTCTCACAGTATGGAAAACATTATGTGTTTATAAATACATAACTAAATAAAATAAATGTGATTTAATTGACGAGAAATGTTAACATTTCGCAGATAATTGTCATAAAAATTTTGGTTTCTCTCAAATTTTCTAATAAATATTTTTTGAGTGTTTTTCACTTTAAATAGTTGTAAAACAAATAAAATGTTAATTTTTTTGTTTGTATTATTCATTGAAATTCCTTAAACAGCAATCTTAAACACATTTCACGAAAACACTTAAAATTTATAATTAATAATAGGGTTAAAATATATTTACAAAAGCCATTCAAAGCCTTTGATGGTAAATCAAATGATGGCGTAATTTATAAAATTAAATAATTATAAATAGTTAAAATTAATTCACAAACACATAACACACACACACAGTATAATACACTTGCCTTGATTTGAGGGGCAATTATAATGATGGTTAGTGGCGAGAATGCGTGCAGAGTTTAAATCATCAAGCAAACTATCCAGCTCGCTTAAATTGCTGTTATAATTGGTGTCTATAATACCTGGCGATTTGGGACCCGTCCGCCGGTCCAGTATCTCATTCTGATAGAGTGGCTATTATTTTACGGGGGAATAGATTTAGAGAGACTAGTGATTAACACAACATAATACAAATAGGTTAATATATAAGTTGTGTGGGCACACAATTACCTCGTCGTTATTGTAATAATCGTATTGTTTGGTGAGTTTGGGTGCTGTGGTGGTAGACATGTCGGCAGGTGTGGTCATTTTCCAGCCCGATGTGGTGCCGGGTTCTTTTTTCAAATGCACCGTCGCTTTTTCCAAGTCACTCAGCAGCGAATCTACAAACATGTCGGTGAAAAACAAAGTACAAATGCGATATTGTTAAATCCTTGTTATTTAATATCCGGATCAATTTATTACTAAACAATATACAATAGAGTAATATTTATTATTAATGACAATTGACTGACACTTTCAGAATGTCTCTCTCGGAGTATTTTTGAGAGAGTCGTCTCTCTCGGAGAGGGTTTAGATGAGAAGAGACACAGAGAGCACAGGAAAGTGCTGTGCGATTGTGTGTCACACAAAACACAGTGAAAACACACAAAAAAAAGTATTGAAAACTATTTGATAGTTAAAAATAGATATTTTTATTTTCCACTTCTATTGGGAGCCGTTTTGACTGAATCTGTGTCTCAGATCTGGAGTAGAATAACACTAATGATAAACATGTAGTGAAAAGACTTCAATGACTACTAATACAAAAACTAAAACTACTTATCCATCCATTCATTCCCACACATCCTATGCCTCCGTATGTCTCCCAACAAATCAAATGCCAAACACTTCTTCGCCTATGCGTTAGAGAGAGAGAGAGAGAGAGAGAGAGAGAGCCAGGAAAGTGTGAGGGAGGGGAGGGAGAGAGACTGTTATGCAAAAATTGATAACATGGTATGTTTACACAAAACCTCAATTATATGACACAAAACAATACAGACATATACAGAGAGGAGAGAGAGAGAGACAGGAATCCTTGATTCCTGTGCCGAACCCCTAATACTCCCACAGTATTTGTGTTTCACAAACTCCTAAACCTCTGTATTAATTGCCATTAAAATCAACTGTAATTTCATTGCCTTAAATAGGCATCCGATTCAGTGAGAGTCCGGGGGCTCACTATCCAGACTATTAGACTCTGGATATGTGTAGTGTTTTGTGTGGTGTATATAAAAGTGATTTAATTTACATTAATGTAAATTTTTGTTAATTCTAAAACACAATCAATACAATTATATATTTTGTCCCAAAGAGTTAATCTGGTATTGAGTGTTGAGCGCCAGTAGTAGTAGTAGTGGTGGTCGTGTCGGCGCCCAACACTAGTTATATTGTACACCCGTTTACGCCAACCCTAGCTATATATGTATGACATCTGTGTATATAATTAAAGGGCAAATCAAATGCATGTAATAATTGATATGTTTTTTCTGATCACATATTAATGTCTTAATTAAATACAGAGTTTTAAATAGTATTTAAATTTCTAATTGTTTTTGTTTTGTAAAATATCAGACATTCAGTCCATGTATTGAATGAAAAAAATTAAAGTTTGGTTTGAATTTTGATCAAAATTTTTGATTAAACGCCTTCTAAAATGAGTTATGAATTAAATTGCATTCAATTAATATTGAATTAAATCAAACATGATGCGATATAGTATTGAAAATGCACCGTGCCTAAACATGTAAATGGTTTATGGTAAATTATTATCATTATTAAATACAAGTACAGTATATACACGCTATATATGGCCACACAATAGTGAGTCAAGTCCTTACCCAAGTCGTCCATATTATCGGGAGTGGATGATACAAAAATGCACTGATTATAGTGTATGGTATAAATTATATGAAAAAATTAATTTATGGTAAATTTAGTGTGTATTTTTAATCATAACATTTTTTAATTTCAATTTCTGTGTACATGTATTGCAAATACAATAACAATTAAATATTCAATTCGTGAGCCAAACCCTAGAGTGAGCTGTAGTTTGCAGTGCTATGTGTACTGTATGTATGGTATGTACAGTACAGACAGTACACTATTTAGTGGACACTTATTTGTTAATTTTATTGTATTTTTTTGCGGTTAGTGTATAATAATTGGGTATTTTATAACGAGATATTGACAACAGATTTGCGAAGTATTTAAATATTATTTAATAGTATTTTTCTGGTGAGACATAAACGGCATAACCATTAACTTCAATGAACACCCACTGTGTATACCATTGCCTTATATGTACAAGGTTTATGGTAAATTATTATCATTATTAAATACAAGTACAGTATATACACGCTATATATGGCCACACAATAGTGAGTCAAGTCCTTACCCAAGTCGTCCATATTATCGGGAGTGGATGATACAAAAAAAATGCACTGATTATAGTGTATGGTATAAATTAGATGAAAAAATTAATTTATGGTAAATTTAGTGTCCGTTTTTGATCATAACATTTTTTAATTTCAATTTCTGTGTACATGTATTGCAAAATACAATAACAATTAAATATTCAATTCGTGAGCCAAACCCTAGAGTGAGCTGTAGTTTGCAGTGCTATCTGTACTGTATGTATGGTATGTACAGTACAGACAGTACACTATTTAGTGGACACTTATTTGTTATTTTATTGTATTTTTTGCGGTTAGTGTATAATAATTGGGTATTTTATAACCAGATATTGACAACAGATTTGCGAAGTATTTAAATATTATTTAATAGTATTTTTCTGGTGAGACATAAACGGCATAACCATTAACTTCAATGAACACCCACTGTGTATACCATTGCCTTATATGTACAGTCAGTGTACACCACATATTAACGCCATAATATCAGGAGTTGTTTTTTCATTGAATAAATTAATTCATAAACTTTTCATTCAGTTTTTTACTTATAGTATTAATTGTGAAATTTTTAAAAAGTACCATAAACTACACTAAAAAATCTAACTATAATTGCCCATCAAATCAACATATCAACACTAACTACATCCAACCAAAGGCAGCGTGTACTAGTCAAAATATTCAACAATTTAATTAATTAAAGATTATTAATTATACTTTATTAATAGACAGCAAAATTTTAAATATGTTAATAATTTTATGTTAATTTATTTTTAGTGTTGTTTATATAAAAATGTGACATTTGTATTGTGAATATTAATTAATACGGTAATTCAAAAATTACACACCACTAATTTTTGTAATTTAATATAATTAGATATATTTAAAAGTCATTTTAATTTATTTGAGCAAAATTAAAATAATACATATTTAAAATATTGTAATTTTTGTAAATTATTTAATTTTTTGTACTATTATTATATTGCAATTTTATATACAATGTTTCCTATGGATATTATAATACAATGAACTCAAGATAAATAAATATAATAAAATTTAGTAACATTTAAACTGATCAAAGTCTCGTGTAGGTTAATTTGAGATTGATTGAATTATGCTAATCCTATACAAAGAATATACTGTTACTTAAACTAAGTTTACCCTAAACTTACTAAACTGTTTACTTAACTAAACTGTATATAAATTACTACTCAGAAATTGCATCGTTATTTACAAATTGTATTGTTTTACTATTGTTGCCTTTTGAATACTCGGGAGTAAACCGGTGTCCAAAGGTGTTGTGTAGGTACGGGTGCTCTGCGGCTATCGGGTAATAATGGGTTCTCCGAATAGACACATATAAAACAATTACTTTCTTTATATTTCATGGTATTTGATGTGATTTTTTAGATTGATATTAACGGGTAGTTTAGTTGTATAGTTGTGATTGATGTAGGTTGGTTTCCGTCGCACATGATCAGTTTTATAAGTTGTTAAATTAATTAATTTAATGATTTATTATACTTTTTTAATAGAAAGCAAAATTTTAAATATGTTAATAATTTTATGTTATTTTTAGTGTTGTTTATATAAAAATGTGACATTTATATTGTGAATATTAATTAATACGGTAATTCAAAAATTACACACCACTAATTTTTGTAATTTAATATAAAGTAATTAAATATATTTAAAAGTCATTTTAATTGATTTGAGCAAAATTTAAATCTCCTTTACTATTAGAAGCGGCGATATAGAGGTAGAATGACATTTGAGTCATCAATGAAATGCAAACATGCAAATACTGCAGACTGACACCATATTAGTGTTTTTTAAGTTTGACAAAAAAATTAATTCAATTATTTTGACTAATTAATTACGAGCCGTAATTTCGAGCTGTGCCCTCGTAATAGATATTTAAAATATTGTAATTTTTGTAAATTATTTAATTTTTTGTATTATTATTATATGTTATTATATAGTATTATACAATGTTTCCAATGGATATTATAATACAATGAACTCAAGATAAATAAATAAAAATAAAATTTAGTAACATTTAAACTGGTCAAAGTTTCGTGTAGGTTAATTTGAGAATCAAATTTTACTCAAACACCACTCAAGTAATACCCAGTATAAATATGACACCCTATTTATTGTGATAGCGAGCAGTGGTGGTCGACCAGTAAAAGTTACCATCTACAACCCTGCTTCACGTACCTGTCGAGGGCCGGTATGTTTAACTCGTTGAGACGTTTACCATAATCGACGGCCAGTGCCCGGAGTTCGTTCATTTCGCGCACGATTATATCGGAGGCGCGTTGAGCTGTGCAACACTCCCGGACCATAATCAGGTACATGTAGGCGTGTCGGTAGTCCCCGGCGCGCACCTCCTTCCTGAACGACATGAGCTGGTTGCCAAGAACGCAGTTTTTGATGTTCAACGTGTTAAACGCCCGGTACGTCGGGTTGTCTACCAGTCCGTACGAGTTTGGGTCAAAGCCGGCGCTCAACACTGCGTTAATGTTGTCGATCAGGCGTTGGATGAGCCGATCCATTGGTGTGTCCTTGCTCATTTGGCCCGACTTGTATTTATTATACCATTCCCTATTTAATTATACTTTCATTATTTACACTATTGATATAAGTTATAACAAACCCGGAATAATTTAGATAATTGCAATAAATATGATTAAATATCAATGTCATACCTGATTTGCCCGACATCAGCAATCGTATCAAGGTGATCATCAAATATAAATGAGGACACACCCCACAAATTAATCGCCTCAAAATGTGCCCGGTTGTCTGTGCTAAACAGCAATGTTTGAAACGCGTGACATTGACCATGGTCCACCCAGGGTCGCCCAAAGCACTCACTGATCTGCCGCTCAACAGTGGCCGCGGCGTCCGGAAAGTGCGGATTAGGGTCGGGCCGATCCGGTATCAAAATGCGCACCTCGTATACGATCTGGCCCTCATCAATGTCCACGTGTTTGACCATGGTGCTTTCGTGTACGTGGCTTATATCGTACGGCATTAAATCGGCGAATGACTTAATAGAGGCCCTATTTCTATGTATAACCTCCATTATATTTATTTGTTAATTAAAGTGAATTATATTACATTTGAAAGTTTTATTTTACACCAACTAATTATTACAACAACTGAATTACTGTTGAATTATTGTGCCTTAAATGTTAAATATGATTGCAATTCAAACATAAGGTATTTGTTGTGACTAAACATAATATGTTTAGTGTTATGGTGTTTCCACAAGTAAACCTCATGGTTAGAAACGGTCAGTTAATAGTTAATAGAACCGTTATGTTTTTTTTATCTAAACAATCTAGCATTTTGTTTTACTGTAAATTATTTTAGGTTGGTGCTTGATAATTTTAGTTTAATAAATAAAACACTATACATAACACAATAATAATAATAGTTTTAATATAAAATTATAATTTTAGTTGTGATTTACATTTAAAGCCGATATTGAAGGTAAATTACAAAATGATAAAATACGATATAATAAAATAATTTTAAATATATTATTATAATTATTAATTGCATTATAATTATATAACGTAATTCAAATTAAAGCGCTGTAGTCTGAATAATGTTTCCAGCGATAATAGTTTGAGCTTGCTTAATTTTAGCAACACGTTTAAGCTGATTAACACGTTTTCTATTATAATAACTGGACATACAATTAGGCAAAATTGTTAACAAATTCATTATAAAAATCATATAAAAATATTCATTATTTTTATCCATAAAGACACAGGTATTTGAAGCCGAATAGGCAGAGAATCCATTACCATAATGTATTACAAATTTTTTGGCGACATAGATAAGCAGCATAAATATTATATATGAGAGTTTGGCGACCATGGAGATCCTAGCACCTAATGTATTTCCTATGGACAATGAGCAGTAGTTATAACTCAAAAAGTACTGGACCAATTTTTACAATTTATATATCAAATTGTACAGAATGAAATTTGATTTGAGCCTGTATCAGGATTTTTCGTATAAATGTGCAGAATCAGAGTATACTCATATTAAATAAATAAAAATATCATATTTTAAAGCCTTGCCATTTAAAAAATACTTATTCAAATTTAAGTATCAGTATATTAAATTAGTTCAAATTAAGAATATAATAATATAATTTTTTAAAAATTTCAATATTTTAATTTTAAGCCTCATTTTTGCACATAAAATTAAAATTTAAGTTCAAAATATTGTTTACGATTGGAATTTTTAAAAACTAAAAATTTATATTTTTCTATTTTCAATTATGACTAATTTAATATACTGATACTTAAATTTGAATACTTATTTTTTAAATCGCAAGGCTTTAAAATATAATATTTTTACCTATTTAATATGAGTATACTCTGATTCTGCACATTTATAGGAAAAATCCTGATACAGGCTCAAATCAAATTTCATTCTGTACAATTTGATATATAAATTGTAAAAATTGGTCCAGTACTTTTTGAGTTATAACTACTGCTCATTGTCCATAGGAAATACATTAGGTGTTAGGATCTCCATGGTCGCCAAACTCTCATATGTGGTATCTCTGGTAATTTTATTAATTCTAATTGGCGTTGAATTTATCTTGGTAATCTTGCGGTTGTGACCAATATGGTTGCAAATATTCAACGTGATAATGACGCCAACAATTATAGATGGTATGACAAACTCGACACATAGCCTAAACCATCGAGTGTATTGTTTAATTCCGACCATGGTCAGCCAATTATTTAGGTAATTATTGGACTCCAGGCACACATAAGTTTTGAGTCCATTGTTATAATAAAGTGCGTAACTATTAGCAATAAATGGCACCGAAAGTATGAAGCTGATAATCCACATAATGATTAACAAGCTGGCTGGTGACAATTTGTTGACATAGCATTTGGTGCAATGATCACGCTTAAATATATGGTACAGTTGCCAGGCCAATAGCACCATGGTGATGCTCTCCAAGTATAACTTGCTGGCGTCCAAGTAATTGTTTACGCTCTGCAATAGACCGGGAACATCGGGGTAATTGTTTAGTCCCATATGATATACCATATGTATGCGAAACGCGTGGACAATAATGATGACCGAATCGGCGACTTTCATGTTTAAAATCAACCAATTTTGCTGTTGTTTGCGACTAATGTCACGACTCGGGCCGTTCCGGCGCTTAAAGGCGATGGCCTGCCATAGGGTTAGTATGTAAGCCATGTTAGATAGAAACGCTATGGTTTCAATAGCTGACCACATGGACATCCATTCGGATATATTTAATAACATGGTTATTGTTTGATGGATCAACTTAAATGATTGCCGTTTATTGAAATTGCTTAGTTATAATAAAGTTATTGGTGAAGTTTTGTTTGTATTAAAATAAATAGGATACTTATTTAGGTATTTATTTTTATTTTATATGAGTACATGAAATAGGACTATATTAATAAATTTGTATATTATTTGAATTAAGATTAATTGCTGAAAACTATTTAATTTGCTGTACTATTATTATACTGTATTGCAATATTCTATACAATATTTCCAATAAATATAGAAATACTATTAACTTAAGATAAATAAATATAAATAAAATTTAGTAACATTTAAACTGGTCAAAGTCTTGTGTAGGTTAATTTGAGAATTATTAAATTATGCTAATCCTATACAAAGAATATAAGTTACTGTTTACTTAAACTAAAAATTTACTCTAACTAAACTGTTTATTTAACTAAACTGTATATAAATCACTACTCAAAAATTGCATCGTTATTTACAAATTGTATTGTTTTACTATTAATAATTAAAACATTATTTATTAAATTGTAAAATATTGTTTTTTATTTTGTAATCAATCATTGAAATAGTAATCTTTATAACATTTATGAGTATAAATAAAATAAATAATAGAAATAAAAAATCATAATTGTGTGAAATTATTTGACTACACTGTAATTTTCTAAAATGATTAAAACTATGTAAAAAATATAACAACTATTAAAATATGGCAAATAATGAATTAAAGTAAATAAAAAATATATTATAAATCTAAACCATGCCTTCAGCGCTACCGTTGACGGGAACGGGACTACTAGTGTCCGCCCGGAGCCCTCTCAGGTTATCCGCGTAACCAAGTGTTGTCAACGTCTGTTCACACGATTGCATTGTCGGCGAAATCATCGCAATCTATAGCAGCAAAACAAACAGTAATAATAATAATAGGCTTTCATAACGGGGTTAAGGAGACAGCTCGGGTCGGGACAGCACACACACAGATAGACATACATACCATACAAATGCGGCTGTTATTGCCGGTAAACGAGTCGCGCAACACACGGGTCAATGTGTGGCCCCGGGATGCCAGGCGTTGAACGTCCGGTCGGCCCAACTCACGCATACACTTATTGAGGTCTTCAAGTGATTTGTTAATATCTGCCGTCTCTGCGATGGTTTGCCGACTGTAATAACAGTCGGTGTCGGCGGCGCCGCCCCTCTCAACGCCAGCCAAGTCCACCAGCGATAGCCGACCGGTCAGTGCGACCCCATCTGCGCTCAACCGTATCTGAAACACGGCGTGCGAACGGGACGACTGCCGGTTCGCCGACGTTGAGCAATACTGGCGTAATTTTGTGCCCATTTCGACGTAACCGAGCACTTTGTCAACGCTATGGACTCGACATTCTCGTAGGCCAACCACTTGGACGCGTTGCCCGCTGTCCGCCACCACCCGGAGCTTTTTGTTGTGGTTTAATAAATCCAACACCTGATAAACAATGCATATGTTATTTTAGTTAACACTAAACCCCTACCGACCCAATCAACCCATACATACCTGTCTGTCATATATCTCGAAAAAAGACACCAAAACATTCATATTTTTTGTCCTGTATTCGGGCGCCCGGAGTCGTGAGAGCACATCCGCGGCGGCCAACGCGTATATACCATCGCCGGCCGTCTGATCTCCGTTGGCGTGAAAGTGACCGCCCATTGTATGGGTCTTACCGGCGCCGGTCACGCCGTACGCCAAACACGTGGCCATTTCGCCGGCAAACAGGGTGTCAATCACCGGGCGAACGGTGTGGGCGTAGACCCTCGCGGTGTCGGCCATCTCGTCGAAAGTGTGATCAAACCGAAAGTGATTGTGGTATCTATTGTGTACCAAAACTGACCGGCCGTTTGGCACCGACACCACATCGCAACACTTGCGAGCGATTTCGGCCCCGTTTAGCGGTCGCTTACGTACGGCTAGCCATAGGCGCGGCGGTGGCCCACTGGGCGCCGGCGATGGGCATATTGTGGCCAGTGTTTGGCACCACTGCTGCTCCTCATACCTGTCCATCGCAGTGGCGGCCCGTGTGTTGTCGGGTCTACGGCGTGACTGCGATCGCGCGCTCACCGCTGCGGCAACGCGTGTTCGTCGCGCCCCGGGATCGGCCGATCTTGACCTACGCCTAGTGGTCGAGCGCAGGACAGGCACAGGCATGTCGTTCACAGACATGTGTTGCGATATAAATAGTGATATAATTTAAAACAACAGTAAATAAAGTATTAATTATATGTTAATTTGTTGACAACTAAACACACAATGATTTATAATATTGTAGTTTTAAAAAACTGATGTATATCAAAAACAATAAAATGCAGTACTGTATACAATACTAGTTTAGTCCTATAATACAGTGTTTTTACTGATAACTAATCAATTAATTTTTACATAGATTTTAAAATGAGTTAAATGTTTATCAGTTAAGCTTATGTCTATGTATTCATAGATAATTGTACACTAAACTCAAATGTGCAGTGATTTTTCCATAAGATTAACGTTATTGTATTTTTTACTATTTTAATATTGAGTGAATTTGCATATTATAGCAATTGATTAGTACTTATCAATTATTGAAGTATTAATGTTTAAATATTTTTCTAAATTACACAAAATATTTTAAAAGTTTTATATATTGAATCGTTAGCAATACCTTTCCCTCCCGTCCACCTAGTTTAATTTGTATGTTAACCTTAAAACTTATCTTAATTATTTTGTGAACTTATTAATTAATGTATATCATTTGCACTGTACAGTAAAATACTCATGATATCTATTAAGTTAATTAACTTATAACAATAGCTATTTAGTTTAAATTTATATAAAACTAAATATATTTTAAGTACAACTATTAATTATCATGTTTATTTATAAATTAACATAATAACACAAATTGTCCATAGTAACTATTACATGTAAAGTATATAATTATTATTAATACTTATTAACATTACATTAATTTATAAAATTATGAACAATGAAAGGAATTTTCAATTTTATGAGACAATGGCAAACATTTGCCGCTCAAGACTTGGATCTAAACAACAATTTATCACATTTAGTGACCATCGATGGCATCGAAACAGTATTTAACTTAAACTTACTCTACAAAAACAGTGATAATCAACACAAACAAAAATGCATAGCATTTATAATATATTTATTTATAAATTGTGTGCGATATCTATCATACATATGGATGTCGGCGAACGGTCTGCCGGCCAGAGACTACTGGTTTGATATATTGCAACATTTTGGGGGTTTATGCACCTATTTTGATATAATAGCATTTGCCTTAACAGTATTCAATGGAACCTGTTGCTGCATATTTCTGACCATGGCCAAAAAGCACACCCAATGGTTACCCATATTTAACGTCTTAAATGGCTTTTCGCCAGTAAAACATCTATGTATTTACGATAAACAATGTGTGCAAAAATTTATCCTACACTCAAACCTCGTTCACTATACAGTGATTTGCATATACCGGACAATCCGTGTTTCATATCTCATAGTGACCATAGTGTTAGTGTTGGTTAATTATAATTTTAAAAATATGATCAAGTACGGTTTACTAACTGCGCTGGTATTCTACCACTGGGTCTATTATTCCTGTTATTTACTATTCATTATCATTGAGTATTTTTTAGTAATTTGTATTTACTGTACATATCGTATAAAAGCCTTAAACATACGGTTTGAACGATTAATTAAAACTGATTTCATATCCAAACACCGAATCCAAAGAGTTTTGCGTGAATACAACCATACCTTCAGAGATATCAACAAATTTAACCACTTTTGGTGCAAAATATATTTTATGATAATCTATACCATTATTCCCATAACGCTATTGTTTTTACATGAGATACTGTTTGGACGGCTGGACATCACCTTAATTGTAGTGTTGATAGCGTTTGTTAATCTCGTAATCAGTTTATTAACAATTAATAAAATTGCTTCAAATGTATTGAATTCTGCAAACAATTCACAAAAACTATTTCATAGACTATATAAGAGGTTATATTGCATTAGGGAATCAAAACTTCAACTCTATGTAAATTAAATCCTGTATTTATAATTATTGTTGGTTTTTAATTTGTTTTTTTTGTAAATTTAATTTTAATAGTTGTTAACAATTATGGAAATAGTGTCTAATAATCAGCGATTGATAGGCTTTTGGTGTGGAAACCAATTCTTTATGACTCCATTCAATGCTTTCAAAGTTTGTTTTACTTATTTTTATTATAAAACTATTATTTATTTATTAATATTTTTAAAATTTAGATAAATGTAATGTTTGTCCGATTTTTTCTACTAATACATCGTTTAACACTCAAATTGTTTTAATACTGTTTTCTGGTATTGTTTAAAGTTTTTGTCAATTTGTGGACCAAAATGAATAATCAACACAACATTACGTAAACCTTTAGTATAAAATTGTAAAACTAATTAAAAATATTAATGATAAAATATAAATTAAAATTGTTATTTGAAATAAAAATTAAACTCATAATTCTATTAGAAATATATAAAATATTTGCCATTTTTTATATGAATTGAATGAAGATTTGAATAACTGGTTCCCACACGAGAACCCAATCGACCGTTTCTTACTGTCCACTGACTCTATCACTGATAATAACTGAACACATATTTCAAAATAAATATTAAGCCTTATATTAATTAATAATTAAATAATTATTATATTTAAAAAATAGTTTTAAATAATAAATGAAAAATACAATTAAGCGCAAAATAAATGTTTATTATCAATCACATAATTCACAAGATTATATCATTACAAACGTTGTTGTATAAATAATGGTGACATTTAATTGAATGGCGCGCTCGGGTGCACTACTCATTTCTTGCCATGCTCTTTGCGTTTTGTTTTTTTTTTTGACACATCGATAGTGTTCGCACCGATAGTATAGAGAGGGACATGTTTTCGGATGGTTACAGTGATCCGGGGGGAATGTTGGGCGATTGGCAGCCTTAGTACATACAGTTGTTCTGTCTTTGTTGCTATGCAGACATTGAAATCCGGCTTTCTGGTCACAATTTTGCCCTTCGTGACAATATTCTCCCTCTTTGGTCTTGGGCGCTTCTGGGTTGTACACGTACATTTTCGCATCGCTATCGCCCATTACGGCAGTTATGAGAGCTGCCGCGGCCACCCCTATCACCAAAACCACGTTTACCATTGACCACCTCATTGTTGTTACGCGTATTGAAGTCACTTTCAGTGTTCAGTTTCGGTAAAGCAATTAAAGTTTGCGATCACTGCTAACGACTGTTCGCTTGTAATTAGTTTGCAAAACTGGTTATAGTTTATAAATGAATGCCTTGCTGTTAACATACCGCACTTCTACGGTGGTGATACTTTTCACTCTGTATTAACTATACAAGTGATTTTGTATGGTTAAGGGCCTTGTGACCGGTTAAAAGTGTGACCGCCTTAGAAGTACGCCAGTGACATACGTTTTATTTAATTATATTTAATATTTGACGTATTTATATTATAAGAATACCTCGATTTATTAACTTCTCAATTACAAAAAACCACCGTATGTGAAGTGATTTACGTTTAAAGTGCGTAAAAAACTTTGGACATAAAATATGTACAAACACGGTGTACACGCAATGCAATTAACTACAACTCGGAATAATGATAATTAAACACAGCTTAAGAATAAAACTGTTTATTAAATAAATACTACAAAGTATGGTCTCAATCGGGGGTTTTAAAGCAGTTGCATAACTAATACTAACACTAATGCAAACTCAGTCTTACTCTGACTGATGTTTGGGGACCACTGATTACTAGTGCGGCGTTTGGCGTAGGGTTTAATACCCAACTCAACCCAAATTTAGTACAACTAAATTTTTAGAAATTGAGCTATATACAGTAGTTATATTATTTATAAATATGCATTAATAATATCAATTTGATATACGTATGTAATATACTGTAACTCAAATTTGCACTCACTTTTCCATAATATTAACATTATTGTATTTTTCCTCAATTGTTAATTATTAGCCACTCTTTCCATAATTGATAACAACTATTAAATTTAAATTTACAAAAAGAATTAAAAGCCAACAATTTATAAATACAGGACTTAATTTACATAGAGTTTTAGCTTTGATTCCCTAATGCAATATAATCTCTTGTATAGTATTTGAATAGTTTTTAACCACTATTCTGATAAGAATAATGTGGTTTATAGGATCGTTCGGCCCCCCCCCACCCCCCTCCCGCCCCCCTACCCTATGGGATTTAACATGGGATTACAGCT